ACCAACTTCAAATTTTCTATGTTATTTAATACTATATGAACATTAAAATATTAAAATTTATTGAATAAACAGATTTCTTGAATAAAACATTATAAAAAAAAATTCTCAAAATTTCAAAGTAAACGCGTTTTCCGTTTTTATGTTTTCAGAAACAGTTTTTCAGAATGGCAAAAAGAACATATTTTCAGAAATTTCAAAACAGACACTCAAAATACAAAACGCAAAATAAATTCAAAACTCAAAACACAAAACTCAAACACAAAGAGAACGACCCCTTAATTTTCCAAGAATCGTAGTTTCTGGTACAAGTGGGAAATCAAAATCTTTCACCCACTCCATTGCTTGAACTGTTCCTCTCTATGCAATCAAAATATCCCTTCTTCCCAATTCAATTTTTCCTTCATCAGTTGAGACACCGACATACCCCATCCAATTTGATTCTTTGCACCAAGCTTCACCTGCTAATGGCTTCATTACAAATGCATTTGTAACACTGATGCTAGATGTTGCGTGTATATACTTTACGATTTCGTACTTGAATGGATTGCCTTTTTCTAATCCCACCCTGGCTAATAGGTTCCTCCTCGAATATCTACTGCTCCCTGCCAGGGCCGGTCCTGTGATTTTCAGGGCCCGAGGCGTGATCCATAAATTAGGCCCCTAAAATCAACATAATCGCAAAATTCAATGGTGTATTATGCAACCTATTACTAGCTTAAACCTTGGCAGTAAAACAATAAACAAATCTAAAGAACAAAATAGTTACTACGTGCGCATGTGCAATTGATCCTAAATAATAATCAATCATATAGGCCAACCAGACCACAATTATATAAGCCGACAAGGTTTCAAACATTTTCAATATATTAAATAACAAGTTAGGGCAAGCCACCACTTACTTGACAAGTAGAATTTCGACGAAAATTGTGGAATCACAATTCACACCCTTGAGAATTCCACTGCACATCACACAAGCCTGAAATAAAAATTTAACATTTCATTGGGACAAAATCACATAGGAAAATAAATATTGAGGAATGAGGAATCGAAAGCAAAGTCATCAATAGGAGGGTCCAAAAATGGGTAAAAATTTGAAATAAATCATATAATAGGCAATTAAAGCTT